AACAGAATCCACCGATTTAGCGGTGAGAGGTTCAGATTTTTCGGATAAACGATCTAGAGTCACATTTGTTCGACCATTTTTCAATAATCCCCTAGAATGTTCGGTTATTTTTTCAGCTGAATCTCCGGCACAGAATTTCGATTTGTCAAAATTGCAATCTAATATACTCCGTGGACTGCGCATATTCTTCAGACTAGCCTCTATTAAATCAGCTAAATCCAAGCAATCGTTTTTCACGGTCGATCGTAGTCCTGGATCATCCAGAAGAGCCGTGGCTGTGTTGAAAATGGTGGATTTACTTTGACCAATCTTCTTTCCCTTGCCCTTCGTTCTAGTTTTACTTTGATCCTCTTGAATCGTTCTAGACACAGCTCTTTCATTTTTAGTAGTCCTTGAATTGTTGCTTTTCGATTTTACCGAATTCCCTTCTCTTTCTTCCAACGCCTTCAGGCTGATATTACTGGCCTTTGCGTCAATTTTCCGAGCTTTGTTTTGTGTTTTATTTAATTTCGTTTCGCTCGGTTTATCTCGGAGAGAATCCTTCATTTCGTGCTTCGATTCGATCCTTGTAATAGTTGACTTTTGTTTCAGTGTCTTCGTGTTCTTTTGCGCTGACATTTGAAGAGATCGAATAGTGGAAGCTTTCTTTTCTGAGATTTCAAACTTCTCTCTTTCTTTATCCATCATGGATTCGTCGAGACGAATATCGGACGATTTTCTAGGAATTGGATTCTGAATGATCTTTTTTTGAACATTCTTTACTGGTTTCTTGGACGATTGATTTTCGAGTGGAATGGGTTTTGATATGGTTCTTGAAGCGAAATTAGAAGTTTTTGTAAAGTCTTCTAGTTTTTGATTGGGTTTTGTTTGCTTCGTCACGGGACGAGCTCGAGGTACCTGGAAAAGAAATAATTCATAAGTGTAATTGGATGGGGTCCAATATGAACCTAATATACCGGGTAACCATCCTCACCACTAGCCCGGGCCCCCTTGTAAGTCTTTCATTTATTACATCAAAAAATATTGCATGAAATTTGTTTCGACTATTGCCCTTTTTCTTTACGATTAAATGTTATTTAATATTCTTTCAAATAAATTTTAATTCTTGAACCAAGGGGGCCCTCGGAGGTTTGATAGCCCCACGCCCCAGAAATTTTAATCCGATCCTGGACCTAACATCCATGCCAAAAATTATTAAAATAAATGGAAGCCTGTTTTGAAAAAATATTGAATTTAAGTAAAGTTATTTTAATTTAATTAAAACAACAGAATTTTAAATATTAAAACTTTCAGACAATTACCTTTATTAATCCCTGCATCTGTGCCTGCTGAAACAATCGCTTCCAGTCGTACGAAATGAAATCCAATCTTTCGTTCTGTCTTTTCGTCAGAGGCTTGTATTTCTTGTACAAGGTTTCCCACACGAAATTATCATCGAAGATCTAAATATATACGTTCATTAATAATTAACGATTATTGATTTTATTTTTATTTTCATTTACCTCTTTAGCGACGTGTGATAATGATGACAATTTCACGATGTCCTGCACCGCCAGGTATCTAATCAATCTTTTAATTAAGCACTTTGGCAATGCTAGTAACGTATTTCTTCGACCCGAAGCGATCTGTCTTATGTGTCTCAACAAATATTTACCTGACGCGTTGATAAAATTTCATGGTCATAATAAAGTATTTAACAATTTAATAAAAATATTTATCTTATTACTAATACATTCTCGCGATATGAAATTGATATCTTGAAATTCTATAATACTTGAGTTTCTTTTAATGCAATAAAATGAATTATATAAAAAAATGATTCACACGTTGAATGTTGTAGATGGCACCATAAATTCAATATTGAAGAAAATTTTAAGTAACGGTGATGTTCTATAAAGCTTCATTATTCAATGTGTTAAATAATTGCCATCAACATTTCACTACCAAAAATACGTCGAATTTCGTCCTGTAACGATTTGTCCTGTGTGAAATTGTCCAAACTGGTGGTTCGTACGATTGGCAGCTTATGGGGACCGTGGGAGATTCTCCAGAGATAAAGTATCACCTAGAAAATTGATGAAGTTACGAGGCAGAATCATTAGAACGCGATCTATTCGTGAGCACCTGGTCACCGAGTACTCTCAGCCCATAATAATCTCTGCTGGGCGAAGGTGCTATCGAATACTTTTCCAGATACTCGATCTTACCACTCATACTCGACGCATCCAACTCCGAAAAATCTTCACGTTCCGCCTGAAACTGCATCAAAACAGACACTTGAACCGCGTCCAACGTCATGTTTTTAATTGATACTTCAAATACAATTTGTTCAGGGGCGGACTCGCGATTGGGAATTCGGGAACTCCAAATCGTCGTAAAACTTCGTTTTGGGGGACCAAAAATTAGTGGTTCAAAAATATCAAATCTTGAATTCTCAACTTGAAATATCCAGAAATACTCTAAGAAGAGGGCCCATTATGACAATAATCTTCCAATAAAAATTCAAGTTCTAATTAAAAGGTTCCCTGCAATAAATTCATTCCATGACAAGTTGATCAATTTCTAAATATCAGCACATAAAATTGAAGGGAGTTTAAGTCATCATTTTGCTGATTTCGAATTCGTTCAAAAAACACGAATCATTAATTCTTGCAACGTTTGCTTCTTTTCTGGGAAAAGTGTTCTACTTATGAATTTTTATCATAAAAACTATTCGTCAAATTGAGTTCGATTTCCTTTTAATTTAATGTAAACGCGACGCAGAATAATACAAAAGATCCATGGTGTTTTAGTTTCATCAATATTTTATTACAATAGTTCCATATGAAGAGATGAAGATAAATATAGAAATGTCGAAGTAAAAATGGAAAGTTGCGTGACTATACACACTATTTTGTAATGTTACGTTATAACAATATACAATAAGTAGGCTATACAAGTAATATCACAATGCATGATTCACAACTTCGTAAAAGTCTAGAGAAGAGAATATAAATCTAAAAGACGAAGGACAGATTCATTTCTGACCCGACGATTATCCGTATTGATTAGAAACTCGAGATGAAAAAAGAAAGAGAAGAAAAATTCTTTCTTTTATACTTTTCTTTCTCCGTTTACGCTACACACTCTTGAGAATCGGAAAGATATAATATTGTATACATATGTATGTGTATGTACGCTCGCGATCAAATCAAGCTTCTCTACGGAAAATGGCGATACAGGGGGAACTAGGAATACTAAAAATCTTAATTTTAGCTATAATTATATTAAAAGTAATTTAGAAAAAAAAATAACATACTTTTTAATTATTACATTTTTCACATAATTTAGTATATAATTAAAAAATTTGAATAATAACATCAATTTACATTCTCCTGCATAAACGCAATAGGGGGGTCACAGATCTATATGTATACCTCGTCATTCTCTTTCGGACCGCAGAAGAGGCGAGAAGGGAGGCTGGGGAAGAAGAGATCTATAGGGAGGGCTAGAAACCCCGGAATTTCAGAAGCCAGAAACCCGAGGAAACCTATGAGGGAAGTCGGAAAGGCTACATGGGGAAAGAGGAAGGGCCGAGCTTAGGACATTACCATTTTCCCTACGGAAGCCTAATTTGACCACAAGTGTGTGTGTGTGTGTGTGTGTCCGAATAATGTCAATTTTGCAGCAGTTTTCGTTATCCGTTTAATAATATAGAATATCGATGGTACTAAAAGCTAATAGTAGTGTAGACAGTACTGACTTCATAGTAAATAGTACTTTCCTTATTCGTAATAATAATAATAAAATAATAGTAATAGTAACAATAATAGAAGATTAATTTATCAATGACAACAGACGTAATATGAATTTGTTTTGTTTTCTTGTCGTGTATGTTTGATTGCATGGTTGATATGACGTTTCCTAGCTCTTCAAAACGATCGCTGTTTTATTTATACCTCGAACGACGTTAAAAAACCGCATGAAAATAAATTACTATACGCTACCGTATTCGAGAAGTCTTATGAGCGACGGAATAAACTTAGAGGCTCGTATTCATAACACTGTATTATCACTAAACGATACAACTTTGTTCTCGCCAATGCAGTTCTTGAATATCTTCGATATACAAAACGATTCCTCGTTCTGCTGGAACGTGAATTACGATTGGTCGATGCGAATATCATTACAAATGTAAAATCTCTAATAACGATTAGGCATCATTGGTAATTATGTGGAACAGGATACATCGCATTAACTTTAATTATCTTGATTTCATAATACATACATACAATTTTTTTTACTATCGAGTTGGGATTTTTAGACCCAGCACCTAATTCAGATTTTTGGTTTCAAAATAGAAATTTATTCCAAATAAAATTAAATAATATTTAATCGTAAAGAAAAATGGCAACGGTAAACAAAATTTCATTTAATATTATCTAATATAGTAATAATGGGATCCCCTACAAAGTGGGACACCGGGCTGTAGCCAACCTCTGACTTCCACTTAATTCGACGCTGTTTAAACACAATAATAACAAGAATTGTAGTAAAATATAGAAAATATGAATTGTACAAAGAAGCCTTTGTTATAGCTGAGTGGCAAATCTGTCGCGGCAAATTCGATGAGACTCATTGTACACGTTAAATTATTTAGATCAATTGTTTTTATAATACGTATATATGAAGATTATTGAATGAATAAAATGTAACCTATTCTACATAATTACCAAATTATTAATTTTATGATTGCTTGTATACCTGAATCAACCCAATTCAAATCGTTCAACTTTCCATTAGATTCTACTATGTGTCTGATTGCCAGTTCTGTTACTCAACATAGTGGAAGAAACAATACGAATTAACTTCGTGTTATTGTACGTAGCGAAGGAACGTAAAGAAGTATAGTTTGTTTTATTAGAGCGTTCTGAATACAGGCCAAACAGTATAAAAAATTGAGTTTCGTGCCCACGTCAAGAACGCTTTGCTACGTAAACTGATCGTTGTTGCATAATTCCTTTTTGACTATCATGGTCGATTATGAGAAAGCTGAGCGAAAATTCGAACATTCCTTCCTCTCTTAACATCTTCTAGATCTACTTCGATCGCTATATTCATCGATCTACATCGGTGATTCGTAATTTGAAACGCGTCAAGATATTATTTTATGGTTTTCAATTGTTATGGTCATAAAATTGTTATTAAATAATTCTGTAAAAGAAAAAAAACTATAAAGATTGTGAATTTAATTATTAATCTCATACTATTGGTATTAGACTAATAAACAAAGAGGACCCAATACTGAAATCACCTAAATAAAATAAAATAAAATAATAGGTATCGCACGACGTTTCAGTGCAAATGATTAATTCTTTTTCGAAATGAAAACGAATACTTATCACTGCGTATCAGAATTGCCAAATCACCGACCTCGAACGAGCTAAAACGTGTTCCCAGCACAATGGAGCTAACCATCTTCTATACATTTATATCCCATAAACCTTTTGTACTCGGCACACTCGTGACAAACGCATCGTTCCTCATGGTTGTACCATCGTTATGAGTATATTATATGTATGTATAACCGCGTGATCCGTCTCGACAGGTAAAAAGTATCGTCGGATACGATCAACATAAGCGTAACGACGACGACGACGACGACGACGACGACGACGTGCGTACCTCTGATTGCAACGCATAATATGCTCCTGTACGTGTATACATAAATGTGTGTGTATACATATAGATATATGTATATATAATATTATATCTGGAAGAACAGATTTGCGTATTGCAACAGCGCGAAGAAGGCCGTGACGCCTTACCGAGGCAAACGATACCTTCTTGTCTCGGATATGTGACTCTATCGCCTATTTTGGTCGTGTATAGATAATCTGTATTCTAGCCGACGACAGTCGAGATCATCAAATATGAAACGCGTGTATTTGAATACTGACAATAATCTCAATAAATCAGTAAATCAATATCAAGCCGTTCAAACCCTCAGACTGGGGGTCATTGAAATAAGCATAGTTCAAACTTAATTTTATATAAAATTAAGTTGCTTTGTCTTTATTTTTGGATAAAAATAAATAAAAAAGATAAATTTTAGATAGAATTAAGTTTGGATTAATTTAAGTTTATTCGAGAAAGTTATTTAACCCTCGAACAGAGGGGAACCAGGGCCAGTCGTGACCGAAATTACCAGGGGTATACAAGGATATTAACTTAATTTTTAAATGAAAAAGTTTCATATATTGGAAGAGTTTAGAAAATAAAAAATATGAATTCAGTTTTTCAAGATTTCACAACTGAATCAAAATTTCTTCATAATCTCATTCCTAAAACGCCGTCTCGACCTTTAGTAAATTAGAAACGTTGATTGCAAAGTTTATGAATCAGCCCACACTATCTCTCCGCTGCCACGGTATAGGAACACTGGTAGATGACCGCGAATTAGATATATACTAGTAAATGATTGCTTCTAGGATTTGATTTTGTTATATTCAGAAGAGAACAGACAGCGTGGGGTGTTATAAATTTGTAATATTACTAGAAATTATAAAAATCGTCCTGAAAGGTCAGTGGATTTTGAATAAAATGCATTATAGATGCCATGATTGTTAAAAAATCACTAAAAACAAAATAGAAAAAAAGAAGAAAAGAGGGAAGAATTACAAGCAAGGGATATAGGGAACCTTCGCGTTATGGTATACCCAAGAACAAATTAATTACATTATTACCGGTTGCTTTAGTTTTGCTGTGAAAATAAAAATTCTGAAATTTATAGATAGATGTGACTGTATGGTGAAATCAATTTTCAAATACACATCGTTCATACCGCCTAAAATTTTTCTACGAAAAAATCACATTTTTCTCTCTATCCGGTTATCCTTGCAAAGCATCATCGTTTCATCGATAAGGCGCTCGGCTGAGTAAGTTTAACGAGTACCAAATAAGAAAGAGAGAAATAGTACTCGAGTTAAAACGCAACTAACAGGATTAAGTATAAGAAAGAAATTAGGAAACCGATGCAGTTAAGAAAACCCAATCGATCGGTTTTCCTCCGCTGGTCTCCGGGTGTATATTAAATATCGAGTAAAAAGTAGTAATCTTCGATAAGCTACTCTGCAAGTACTTTGTACATCGAGTGAAAATCGAAATCCCTTTAGTTCAGCACGAGAAAAATGGTCTGAAAGGATCGTCCTCTTTTTTCGATCGTTTCCATTTAAGTCTGTTGAACCATGGAAACCGGGGTGTCGGTTATACCACCCTCGTCTCGACAAATGCTCGAGGAAGTGGTCGTTTCCTCCGAGGGTGCAGGAGCGACTGTCAGTTGCCTCTGCTCCATGTGATCGAGGGTCTTCTCGATCGCCCTCAACCTTTTCTCCAGGCTCGTTGTACCGAGAATTCCTACTTGCAACTGCGGACCCAAAGGAAGAATGGCCAGCAACCACCATGTCCACGATGGACCGTCTGGTAAACGAGGCCAATCTTCTTCTGTCTCTGGCATTCGACCGAATACCCGTTGTATTTCGGTTTGCTGCGACGATGGTACCGTGTCCCACCATTTTCTCCCTTTCGTTCTCACCTGTAAACATTCGTTTGTTTTTTCTGTAGAACATTTGGAATGTACCAAGTCCAATATAAAAAGATCGATGAAAAATGAACAATTCCAAGCATGATTAGTTTCGCTTCGAGGAGAAAGAAACAAAAGAGATATAATGAATTTATTACGATTAAGTTTGTAGATTCATAATTGTTTACCTTGTCATGCAGTTCTAAGAGGTTCAACAATTGGTCTTCGTGTACCATTGTGTCCCTGAGGAATTCAACTTGAGCCGTGTCGTAACCATCCCTCTCACCCCCAGAAAGAACTCTGAATCTTCTTCCCCCTACTGTGCTAAGGATACTGCAACCGTCTTTCAATAAGACTCTGTCCCGGATTTCAAGCATGGTGCCATACTCCGCGTATCTGAAAATAAACCAAACTTCATTTTTATTTCAAATAAATTAATTTTATTTTTATTATTATCCTAGGATTCATGAAAGGTAATAATTAATTTATAAGTCAGACCGTAAAATTCAATGTATTTGTGAAATATTTGGACAATGAATACTTCGCGTACCGCAGACTAAACAAGCTTTACGTAGCCACTAGACTTCTGTTTAACGTGTACATAATTATTTTCACGTCTGTTGAAAGTTATTTATATTTCACGCTAATTAAGAGCTACTCGATAAAAGTATTTCAACCACGTATAACAATAGTACTACATAAATCCATACATTTTCAAGATTTATTTACTGCTGAAATAGTTAAGGGTTGTTTTCACTTTCAAATAATAAATACTTTACAGAAGAAGGTCCAAGTTACGCCAATGTAATTGATTAACATTCTTCGTTAATGCAAATTAATTACCTTTTCGTCCCCGTTGCTTCTCTGTTCAGACAGGCCGCGATGCCGAATTGACGAACACCGCTTTCCACGCATCTCCTCACCATCAGCCTATATCTTGGTTCATAGACGAACAAGGGACAGGCGACACAGGGGAATGCTGTTGTGCAAACGAAAACCGCGATCTCCTCGCTTCCCAACAGCCCTAGTCCTTGGACCAATTCTAATCGGTGGCTGGTCGCCCTGGAGGCATATTCCGCGGGAGCCACGGTTTTCAAAGCCCTCTCCACGAAGTCTGTCACCGTCTTCTGGCTGCTGGCCAGATACTGCAAGCAAAGGACATTCTGTTAAATCGACTGGAAGCCGCCTCCTCCTTCTTAAGAGTTTTCGATCCCGCAGTTTGCGATTCATGAACAAATTCTCGCTTCATCTTTCATGAAAGCTTCTTCCGAAGTCAACTTTCCAGAGTGGTATATATCAATAATAAATCGGACGTTTCAGCAGCTTGTACCTGGTTACGTATTTTCATTCTTTTTGGTAACAAATTTAAAACTTCTGAGAAACTTTACATTTTTTAGGTTTGTGATAATTAGAATTATAGTTAACCCTATCGCGATCTTCGTTTCTTCTTCAATTTAATTAAGGAACGTTCGCAATTATGAAAAAATTATAATGAAATTATTGTTAAAACGCCAAGTGAGAAACTTAATTGTTTATTATAAAAAATTGCAATTTTATTTCAATGTTTCATTTTATAAGTTAATATCATGCAAATATAATATAATGCGATCTAGGGAGAAGGGAGTTATTAACAATACAAGGAGCCGCAAAATTTAGTTAACGTTATTAACAACCACGTTCGTCGAGACAATTGATAATGATGCCACGAACACGGAAGCTTCTAACGGCGATCATGACGACCGCAAACAATCATTTCAATCTGCAGTATCGTTAACCGCTAGGAAGCATTATGTCTCATTTATGAGCAGGTGTTGTCTGTTCGCGTAGTTCATGTTTAATAGCTTGTGACAAACTAGACACGTTTCAAAGAATTCTTGGCCGAGAGAATAATGGGAAAATTTAATACCTGACACTTGAAGAAATTGGCACATAAAAAATGTGATATGTTAAGGTGAAACAGTTAGAATGTTAAAATTTTTATTATTTGTTTAAATTATGAGAATGCCTCATTTTTTTTGTCCTATGTCTACGTTAAATATTTTTGAAAATTTGTATCAATTTATTTTGAAAAAATTAGTAATTTGTAATTAATATAATGTAATATTGTATAAATGTACGTAAATAATCAAAGGAAGGAACTGGAAGCCCTTTTTTATTTTATTTTTACCACAAACATGATGGTGTGTATGTTTAACAAAATTACTTATTTTTTTATACACAGGAACTGTATGTTTAAATAGGTGAATAGATTGAATTTCGAATCTAAAACATGCATTGCATATTTATCAGAGTTTGTGACAGAGAATACAGAAAATCAAATCAAGTTTCCTGACAGTCTTCTGTGTGCACCTGTTCTTACTGATTACACTAGAGATACTTATTTCCTTTTGAATGGTTGTTCACAGTAGATATTCAAATGCTTGTCGTTGTTATCACGAACAGAAGTCTGATAAAAGCTCGAAACATTCTTCTTCTTCGTCTTTTTCGTTTGCATTTACACGCGACAGCCAGTTCGAGCTTACATAAGCTCGCGATAAAAAGCAGAATGTAAATCGTAAATTTTACGATTGCAAACAGCTATATATCTGTTAAACAAATTCAGGAATCTATCTTGTGTAACTTGACAACTTACGACACCTTACGACAACTTTGCGAAAATCTGAGTTTGGTTTGTACATTACTTGGTAAAATTAATCACTCTGATGAAATAATCAAATTTCAAACGATTTTTTAAAAATTTTCTATTTAATTTATATTATTATTTTTAATTGAAATTCTTTCATTTAAAAAAATCATTAAAGCATTACTTACGTCGGCGAGGGACGTGACGCATAAAGGACAAGCGGAGGAGTAATCCAAACAACGATCCAAGCACATCCAACAATACGTGTGACCACATGGTGTAGTTACGGGTTTCCATAATAGTCGACAGCATAGAATACAGTCCAATTCCCCAGCTGTGCCACCGGAAAGTGGAGGAAAAAGTATTTCTGCAGGCTTTGCTTCGAGTCCTGCAAAAATCAATGTTATAATTAATATAAAATTGAAATGCTTTTAAAATTCATATTGTTTATCCTTTATTATTTCATGTAAATGCTCGAATTAACTAAATTCTGACAACCTTATCCAAATTCCAACTACGACTCCTAGAGACTTTTTTTTTCAAAGGGAAATTCAGTGAAAATTTGTTTAAAATTATAATCAACGAATCTTACTTTTCAATTTTTCTATGTCTTGATACAGACGATCCAGACCATCCTGTAACTTCGTGTTGTTTTGTGGTACTGTGGTTGATAGAAGTCTCCTGCTAACAGTCTGCAATGAATCAACAAGCATAATTGGATTAAGCGCGAACTTTAATCTTAAATTATTAGGATTGACACGATTAGAGCTCCTTTTCTTTGAAATACAATTCATCTTTATTTACAGCAAGAACACTGAGTAATTGCGTAACGTTTAATGAATCAATTAATCAGCAACTCAGGAATCTGTTCGGAATCCAATTTCAAGATTTTTTCTTTTCCTTTTTTTTTATGTTTCTTATAGCTACTTACAATGTTATGAAATAATTATCGTATAAAAACATGTTTATATGTTTTCTTTACTTGTTGTGTCTTATTAAATATGAGAATAAATTAAATTTGCAAATTGATACTAATTTCTTAGTATAAAAATTTTTTAAATTTTAGTGAAATTTTAAAAGAAAAATTTGTATATTAAGGAACAATATAGATAGTATCATTTCCAACACAAAATACGATAAAAGAAAATGAAGAAAAATAGGATGAATCTTCGATAACAATAACAGTGAGAAAATTCAAAGCCTTGTTAATGAAGAGATTTGTAATTAAGCGGTTCGAATGATTACTTGTTATCGAACACCTGCAGCTTATCCCAACCACGAAATCAACAGTAATTGAAACATCAGGTTTATATAAGTTCTAGCTGCCCAAGCGCTTATTATCTCTACGATATCCATATTTCTTATCAATGTATAGTAATTGCAAATTAATTGTTGATTATGCGCTTTTCGCGGCAAGAACTGACGCGTCGCGTCGTTACGCTGCAACTGAAATCGAACAGCCACGCTGTTTTCATCCGAGCAAACAAAATAATTAATCGCGATACGTGAAGGATTAAAAGAGTAAAATAATTATTGAAGGTACACAGTAATCACTGCCATTGTGGTAATTACTATATGCCGAACAAAAGTATAAAATAGATTGAACATCAGTTCTTGCTTTCTTGTCTTTCAGTTATTAATTATACGATTAGAAATTATAGTCACAGAGAGTATAGTGATTTGAAGAGAAGAATCCTTCTACATTAATCCTTAAATACTATAGCAGGCGGGGCCGCATTTAGAGCTTCTATTTTAAATTAAGGCTTTTATTTATATTTTTCCTTTTTTTTTAATGATAAGTCACTCTTGAAACATTCAAAAAATTAGTTTCTTACCTGAGTGTACTCCTCTTCACCGCCGCTGCTATTGTCCTCGCAGTCTGAACCGTGCAAAGCCACTCGTCGATTCCTCTTCAGGCTCAACAACTGATGACGACTCCTCACGCGTGACACTCCTTCCGTTAAATTGTAAGGGGTGCGCGATGACAGACTGTAACAACGATGACCGGACGACAGCACTTTGTACAGCATCTGAAGATAATTAACAAAAGAATACTTTTCAAAACATATCAATACCAACCCTTTCGTTGTTATGAGCGATTATAGTCACTCGTTGTAAAACCATCATCGGCTGTGCCAGACGATTATACGTAATTAATAATTAGTAACTAAGGACGTGAGAGAAGGTTTTCGAAATTGTACTGTCCATCGATCACAAGAAGTTTCGTAAGAATAACACAATCTAATTGGTCGAAGCGGTCACATTTACTAATTAAGCTGGTTTAATATCAGGGAGTCAATCGATGTTATCGTAGCACCCTTTCTTGACTCTATGGCGCCCCGCGAGTTTTCTTGTGGTCGATGGTCAACAGATGTGCAGACCCGACTCGAGTATCGGGTACCCGAAAATTTCTCGCGAATCTACATTTTCGTATCTACATTTTGTTCCAGTGAAAATTTTCGTTTTTACCACTTACATCGTTTACCATTTTAGTTGTAATATAACCTGTCCCATTTCGTCACCAAAGATTTGCGTTAACATTGCATTAACCCAATAGAGGCACCTCTTTGTTAGCCGACGATGTTAGATGCAAATGCAGCCTGTAAATCCTTGTAAGTAGGATTTACGTTCGCCTCGGTTCGGCGAGGAAAAATCGTGACCACGGTACTCTTGTAATTACTACGTTGTTTACTGCTCGAGTGCAATAGCGCATTGTAAGGAGATTCATCGTAGGCTAGGTGGAGACATTTCGTGACATTTCGAACGTCTTGCGAGGCGACGTTTAAAGATCAACCAAGTAATCGAGCGTGATTTATTGTTATTTAGCTTGGTATTTGTGCAATACGTACTGCAATCTTGAGCTGTTTACACATCGGTAATTTGTATAGGATTATTACTGTACTGTTGATGTTGCTCGTTAATAATTCCACAGTAGTTTATTATCAACGTACTATATTTCTATGCAGGATGAGATACATAACGCTGTTAAGGTGATTCATAAATAGTTCAAAAGATTTTTTTTCTGAGCTACATTTATATTTTTATACAACATTTGAATATTTAGCTGATAAATTATGGGTTCTTGAGCTATTATAATTATTCGCTTGATATTAAGTTAAGAAATAAATTAATGCATTTTTTAAAATAAACATTGAAATAAACGATTTTAAATTAAAATCAATTTCATTTGTATTGCAATTACTTTCTTATAATAACAATGAATTATAAAAATGTATATAATTGAAAATTTATCATCTATGTTTGATTAAAATAAATAAGAAAAGAATTGCATAGATGCACACCTAAGAATCTTTTGATAAAAAAGTTCTATAAATCAATCGTCTTCCTCACGTCGCATCGACTTATCTGTCCGAAACGTGGTTTCCTAACAAAACAATCTTTCAAAACGTTCACCTTTGAATACCTCTATTTTGCGTTACAATATTCATTTATCAGACGCGGTGTATCTTCTCGCTCGACCGAGATTCTCACGTTTAAAGAAAACGGTGTTGTGCGTAAAATGCTATTTCGAAACGATTCACGGTCGTTAACTTCCATTTTCCACGCCGAAAGAGAGAAACCCGAACGAAAGACCATAAACAAAAGAGAGAAAAACGGAGAAGATTCGCGAAATTTTGCGGAAACTTGTGCAACTTCCGGGGTTTCAGCTCGCATATCCGGCCACGATGAAACAATTTTCGTTGAAAGAAAGCGGAAGACGAACGCGCGAGGGCTTTTTATGTTGCGGTCCCCCTTTGGTAATGCAAAAAAGAATGATTGCTCGATCTTACATAAGTACCGGTGCAGCTTGCGTCAATGATTCCAGCAACGTCTCCGTTGCATAATCACCATTCGGAATTCGATTTGCCGTGCCTCTTCGATTCGTTATGCTCGTCGGATTCTGATCCTCGATCTTCCCTTTGCCGATTTACCGAATACTTCGATCATTAGTTTCTCTCATTTCTTTTGTAAGACGAAATTCTTATCGTATATCAGAATATAGAGTAGAAATAGTTTAACGATAATCACTGTGGATGTACAGCATCGAGCAAAGTAAGTTTCCCTAGGGAAATTAACGTTATAGAAAAAGCAGAAATTCTCAGAATCGTAGTTTTGACGATATTAAAATCGATGTTACATGGTCATATTCTCGAGGGCCACCTGCGAGGAGGAGGGCAAACCAGGACACATCGACATTTACACTAAAGAAGCCTACCATGCTCAGTACTGTACATACTTTTAAAGTAAATGATACTGCTTTCGGTGTTTAGTCCGTATATTTAAAAAATATAACAAATATTATTTGTAATATATGGTAAGAATGTAAATCAACAAGTTGACAATATATTTTAATTATTTGTGGTCGTGTACTTGTTCTCAACCATCATATCATCATTTTGAATATTTATTAATTTAACTTGAATCAACGTTATAATAGGAAATAGGTAATTAGTTCTTTCATCATAAACTTTTATAATTACTCACGTTCAATGTGTATCGACGATCATTATATAATTTGCAACCGATTTTTAACAAACAAGATTTCATTTCTTGTATTTTAAGTACAATTTGATCATTTTTATTCAAAGACTTAGCAAAAAGGTATGCGAAGGTAGCAAGAAACATAATAATATTAATGAAACGATTTTACTTGCATGAGTGGACTTAGACGAGAGTTACATAAAAAACTTATATAAACGTCTGCCTAATCGAACGATCAAGGTAGTACAAAATAAAAGAAGATCCACTTCGTAGAAATGTGCCACCATTATAGTATACACCATATAATTTTGTCCAAATGAAATTGTATTATTTTTCTTTAAATTAAACATTTGTTATATTATTTAATGCATTTATGAAGATATTGAGATAAAGGTAATTGATCCTATTTCACATGTAATACTGTTTAATAGAATTACAATATTACGCTCTTATAGTAGTAAATGTCAAAGATGTTTCATAATTTTGTCCAGCAGTGTACATTTAAGAAATGGAGAAACGATAACTGCAATTTAAAGAGCCGAACGAGTGTCGAGCTGCGTGTAATTACTACTGGCCTTGCCTTCGATGCGGACTAGCCTTGGGTCACTCACCTGGAGCCTTATTCGAACGCACGATCGATTGATATCGTGTAGAGAGGTCAACAAGGAAATAAATTCATTTTTTCTCCACTTTTCCATTTTTCCGGGAGCTGTCTAACGCTCGCTCACCAGTTTATTATTAGGTTATTGCATACCAAATGGTGTGGATTTCGAAACATTAAAAGTCCAACACAGTTTTATGACAGAAAAGTATTGTGAAACGAGACTTATTCTATATCAATTTGCAGCTTAAAGTTTGATGAAAATTATAACATAAATGTTTTATTAATATTCTTAATTCAAAATGACTGGTTATCGATAATAGCAAAAAGTAATCGATTTCAAAAGTTCCGAAAATTAATACTTATTCTATGTAAATTTGATTCATTAATGATTTTAATAGAAAATGGCTAGTATTACTGTTTATTAAATATTAATCGATAAGGGGATTATTTGATCACCAATCAATTTAAACTAAAAACACCAATAAATGGTGCACGTATGCAATAATTATCTGCAAATTGTAAGTTTTAAATTAATATGGTATAAGTAATATTTTACGATACTTTTATGTCGTGTAATTCCAGACCTGCAACGTTTTGAAGTCGCTTCATTGACGAATAAATGTAATATACGCGGTTTTCAACCATTCCACACTCTTAATTATTTTATAGTAATTGATAATATTCTTGGGAAAATAAAAAGAGACGATTTGTCTTGAAGTCTGCCTAAAGGGATAGTAAGCTCCGCGAGGTCTTCCGCTAATTCCACACTGTATAATCATTACGCTCGTCACGACTGTTTCTCGCAGAATCAGATTTAATCGGATTTAATTAACTCTCTGATTCCCAGTGGAACGTACGACTTTTTACAGGCAAAGGTGACTCGGTTACGAACAATCTAGTCCGTTATATTGTTAGATATAATATAGGTACTATTTGTAATTTCTTCCAGATACTAATCTCTTGCTTTTTTACCGAACTAGTAACTATTCATTTTATATAATGAATGAACAGTATCGAGCATGGTAGGCTTCCTACTGAAGCTTGCTTTGTTCGCTACTGTACATCATTAATGTTTTAAATAATTCTTAATTCAATTATTATGTAATTTAAATCAATGGTTTAGACTCATTTATCAAACAATTATATCGATGAACAAAGGAAATAGATTATCATTGTGTCCGATTAAAAACCATTTCACTAATTAAACGTTCCGCTCGGTTAAGTGAAATGATTGGAAGATATATTACAAATTGTTATACGAAGTTTCGACTTAACTCTTTCGTAACTAGTCAAACGTGTACGTACCACGCAACCTTTTTATTTGTTTTTACCCTTGAAATCCATATGGACTCCATATAGGCCATGAATTTTCTATTTCTTTGACTATTATAATTTCACTTTTAAAAAAAATGGAATAAAATAAAATAACTAGATGTCTTATTATTTGAATACAAACACCCCCAATTATTATTGTTAATAAAATTATCGAATTAAATTCTGTGTGTTTTGAGCTTATAAATATCAAACTTTTTAAAAATAAAAGTAGCAATTTATCTGTAATTTTCAAGATACAAATATTAATCTGTAAAGGTTTTTTACCCTAACGATTTAAAAATATAGCAAAAGCAGAAAATTGTATCATACTGTTAAGATACTCTACAATTTTACAAGGTATAAACAAAAATAGGAATATTTGAGTGATCGAAGATCCTTTGGGAATATTTAGGTATCAAATTGTTTGAGTATCATCAGTATCTATCGTATCAATTCCATCACTACTGGTGAATGGTTATCATTGTCCAGGCGCGGGTCACTCACCTGACGACTATCATAGCGAGTCGTTAAGCTATACCACTAGCAGCCGTACCGGAAATGCCGTCGCGTACAGACATTCATTTCTTTTGTATATGTTCGTGACTCCGCTACGATATCTTGATCGCTCTTACGCTCGTTTGTACCGTTCGTTTACATGCACTCGACTGGTGCATCGCTCGAAACGACATTAAAATAGAAAATAAACGTTGACAGATCATTCTTCAACGATGATCCTATCCTATACCGGAAGGAAGTTACTTGCAAATGAAATAATCGATTTTATGCTTATTTTACTGCTATATTTGGAACTTTCAAATGATTTAAATTAATTATTATGACATAATTGCGATATTTTTTACGCCGAGGTTATATTATTAACCTCTCGCAATTGTTAAGTAAAATAATTATTAAAAAATGAAAAAAAATGGAAAACATCAGAAGTAATGATTTTATACTAACGTACAGTAAGAAACAAAGTAGGCTTCCCTATGAAAAATGGCTATATAAGGGCATCAAGAATTCCAAACATATTAATTTTGATGATATTAACATTAAAAGTGATTTCGAATCAAAATAATATAATTCGTAATTAATAAATATTAAAAAATTTTGGGGGGAGGCCATAAAGATATACATATATGGTGCCCTTTCTCCTACATCATAATTCTGGAAGCCTGGCACATTGCTACTTTTCTCCCGGAGCTTCCATGTTCAATACTGTACACGTGTACGTTATACCGACTTGAGGGGTTACAATTAGATATAAAAATTAATTTACCTTGATTAAGTCGTGACGAACAGCTTGAGGATTCTTGTCAATGGCCACACTAATGCAAAGGGCAAATAACGCTTCTTCGTGTCTGCCCAACGCAGACAAAGCCATCCCTCGCCTGTAATGACCCTGTTGACGAAGAACGTGGCAATTAAAACATGAATGGTGATTAATTTCATGAAATGGTGTTAAAGGTAATAAATCGAAAGTTTAACAATTTAAAAATTAAAAAACATCGAAAAATCATGCACATTTGTAAAGATCAATATACAGAGGATTGGTTGTTTAATGGAAACTGTTCGTTTACATTATTCAACGTTTTAATTGTTGCGTGCAGTGTTATCATAAAATGATTCATAATGTTACCAAATCATACGTCATTAATATAAGCGACGTATCTGAACTTTTGTCAGTTAGTTTATATGTTGAGTTAAATGAAAGATGATCAAAAAAAGTAAATTCTTGCAGAATCAGAATCATATCAAAATAAAGATACTGATTCCTTTTTCTTTTATATTTATAGTTCTATAAAATTCTACTGTCAGGGAAACAGTCCCATTCGTCTCATCCTTCGACAAGGAAATCTCTTTTTGGAATAGAGATCTAATCCACCTTCCAGATCTAGGCTAGGGATAACACGTCACCGTGGTTTGGGTGGGTTTGGATCAAGATTGGGTTAAGGGTGGAGGAACAACACGTCGCCAAACATCTGATTGAACAACGTGCCAAGTAAGAGAAACATGTTATCTCATACGCCACAGTTTCCATGTAAAAAATTTTTTCTATGACGAGTTAATTCGTCATCCTCAGTTAAAAGGTTGAACATTCACTTCTACACAACATAATTTACTGTCCTCTCATTTTTACAATATTTGAGATAATGTTTACTAACAGTGATAAACCGAAAAATATCGAAGTTTAATTGAAAATTTTGTTTTTTATTACATTCTATTCAATGATTTAACTAACTGTTACTATTTCTAATAAGGAAATTTTTAAATATGCCACTTGCACACCTCAATTAAGAAGTACCATAACAATTAATATGTGACGAAATTTTTATTGATCGTGTGAAACGTTGGGTGGAAAGATATAAGTTAGAATAAAAATAAATTTCTTACCTTTCCATAATCTGGTCGTAGCCTAACAGCATGGTCAGCGTCCGTAAGGGAAGCTTGAGGCCTATTCAACAGGAGCAAGACATGAGCCCTGTTGCTAAGATGGAGTGGGCTGTTTGGCGCTGAAACAGGAAAACACACGGCTGTAAAGCATCTGGGTAGAATATTGTCTTCGATGGGGAGTTTTCTTGGCAGGAACGGAGTCCCTAGGGTTTCAACGAAAACCTTCTTTCTCTCTGATTAAATTGAGGGAAAGATTTCATGTAACGGGCCAACGAATTCGAAAGTAGGACTGATACTTTGGGGATTGTCAGTTTTTCGGAAACAAATAGTACTCGATGCAGTTTCTGTGGTACAATCTACAATCGTATAACGTAAACGTGGAGGTTACATACATATTGTATGTTAGAATAACTATAATTATCCAATTGAAGGGGTCAGTGGCAAAAATTAGTATCGTAATAACATTAAATCTAATTTTCTTCATTTTTATTTATTCACGACATGTTTTGAAATTTTCAAAAATATTTCAAAGAAAGATTTTCAATTTCTTAACAGGGAGATTAATTGATTTTTCTGCCCCACTCCTCTTCCCCAGTAGTTGCACTTCTATTGTATACTGAATATGATAATTTTTTCTTTCATCAAGTACGACCTTCGATAAAATGTATACTGAATACCTCAGACATCCAGTGCAACAGAATGCACAACGATCTCAGCGAAGGAAAGCTTGCAATTAGCATGCTCGAATTAAACTGCACAAATTAATTGGCTTACATAAAAGGCCGGAGAGCAGAATTGAATGGTTCTCGTTCTCTGTGTTCAACTGACTGCACAGCATTTAGATGCTTGAGCGAATGACGGTGTTTCAATGTTGAGGATGAAAAAGGATTTGTTTTTCAAATGGAATATTAATTGATGGGTGATTTTAAAAGACACTTGTGATTCTTTAAAAAGTTTCTAGTGGCTTTCAAATATCAAACTTCAGTTTATTGTATTATTTAATACTAAAGTAAATGTTAATTCAGATTTTATTTTCGGATTACTATTTTCCTTGAAAAAGTCTGACTTGATTACGAGTAAACAAAATGAATTATCATAGATTGTTGTAATATTGCTTAATAATTAACGCGAAACGTGGTGGAAAATTGACCAGGGATCGGTTTGTTAAACGTTGACAAACGGAGCGCGACGAATCGGTTCGAGTTGGCATTAGCGGTGGTGATAGCGCGTGCCGGAAATTCGTCCTCGACCAAGCAAGAGCCTCTAGCCACGGAGGCAATGACATTGCTCACAATGCCAGGATATAGTCTCGCCTGCATCGGCCGATGCAACTGTCCAAATCACGCTAGCTGCAACGCACCGTAACTTTTTTCTTTTACGATGATTCTTTGTAATAATGACCGCAGTCACGAACGTGGAAACCATGATTCAACGTACAGAGTGAATTACATGAAACGGAACACCTAAATATATCTCCACTATTCATGGAAATATTTTAAAAATTTATTTACAAAAATTATATTATTTTCAAGGGTAGTAATAATTTTTTTTATAATACTTTAATTCAATTTAATTTTAATAATTTCATTTTTTTTAAATTTATATTTAGTACTCAATTTTTCTCCTTAATGTTCATATTTATTTCTTTTAAATATCATCCAATCTTCATCAGTGATAAAAAAAAGTGTGCTAAGAAACCGTAATTCAGAAAATACCGGAAGAAATTAATGATGGAAGAGAAAAACAATGATCGATTTATCACGGGGCAATCGTGCAAGGAGAAACGTCTCTCGTAAAGCTAGAATCGAAGCGTGAAAACAGCTCCGATACTGAAAGAAACCAGTGACAGGAAGAAATAAGAAGAGCCCGGGGAATGCAGAGAATTAATGAGACGTTCGCGTATAATTGAAACGGGATGTCGAAAGAAATGCTGCTATTACAACCGGATGATTTCGTTTAAAATTGATCGAAGCATTCCGTGTCGACAAATTGACGTTCGATATCGACCTTCGATGAATGCTGCAAAAAAAAACGCAGCTTGTTGAAAAGAAGAATGCTGCTGAAAGTGCCGTTAACAGATGGTAATATTAAACTGTGAAACGAAATCAGAAGAAATTATATAACGTGAAGTAAATTACGTCCCTTTTGCAAAGCCCTGAAGAGTGGCTCTGAATAATTAAAATGTTCCTCGATCCACTCAGAACTCTTCTTCGTTTACCAAAAAATCAGTTGCCTGAAGGAAACGAAACTCATGATCGCAACGCATAGTCGTTGCAGTGTAAAGAGTGCAATACACGAAGAGTCATCGATTCGATGCTTGAAGCGATCGCAGGAGGAGGAAATCGAAAGGAGAGAGACCGAGGAAGAACGAGGAGGAGGCGTGAGAAAGAGATAAAGGTCGAGTTCGAGAAGCGGAGTTAACGGACCGCTATACCTCAACCGGCGAGCAACAACAGCAGTAGCAGTAGCAACGACAGCACGACGATGAAGTGCGCGGCCGGGTGACCGACCTTTACGTAACGCTTGGCTGTTTGCGCCGGAACGGCTGACGTCCATTCGATCCAACGACGATGCGTCGCGTCGCGTCGCCCGAAGCAGCTGCACCACTGTGTCGAGAGACGAGTGCAAGACGTTCCTCTCATGATTCCCTATCCCTGTTCATCGTTTCATCCACTTTCTACGCAAGTACCTGCTGTATGCACGAAAAAACTAGAACTTATCCATGTTTCAATATTTTCCCGCGCTTCTGGGAATTTAAAAACTGGCGCGAAAATATAATTGGAGTTACAGTAAATTTTTAAAAATAAATTTTCAACAAAAGAAAAAGGAAAAGTACCTCTTTAATGTGAGTTCGGAGATATAGTGCGGTATAATTTGAACGTTCATTAAATATTTAATAATAAAATGATTTATGTATCATGAATATAAAATACAATAAACATCCTGCATGATCTGAGAAAAAGCCGAGACTTCAAATAGCAGGAGAGCGTGCAACGTATCAACAGCCTGCACCGTGCATACTTATATTCCCTGCTGTTCTGGCAACGATCAATAATGGTCCACGTGTCGACTGGTGGAACTAGCGCCGGGACGACAGCGTCCCTTGACGCGACGCCTGCCAAAGCGTTCTCGCGTATTTCTTCCCGTATGCGAACGTTTGCATCATCCTTGGAAATCAAGCGACGCGGTACACGCGTGTTCTGCATACGGGTAGCAATCGCACAGAGTCCGCTCGCCAAATCGTCAAGCAGTTAGGAGCGTAGAAGAGGAACGCGTCCACCGTGTCGCTTCCCAGACGCTTTTGCGGCAAACGCGGGCCAAAATAATTGCGACGCTTGTAACGGCGTCACCCCTTACGCAACGATGCTGCCGCAAACCTTGGGAAAGTTTCACCAACGATGGGCATTCGATTAAAACGCAAATTGTTGCAGATTTTTTATTCAGATATTAAATGTATCAGTAATCTTTTTCTTTGTTATGCAAATTTCAAGTAAAAGATAATAGATAATGATGCGATGGTTAAAATGTTTTACAAGTAGATTATAAAAAGTCGCCGAATAAGCAAAGAAGAATGCATTCAAATTGTGACTTTGATAATGATTCATAATCTTATTTTACAATAGCTGATGCTTACTCATTCAAATATTGATGTAACTAATATCTCGAGAACGATCTAGATTGCCAAGATTTTTAAGATTATCATCATTTGTTAGGCCTAAATGATATTTCGAATAAATGAGAATTTCCGAAATAATTAGAGCCAAAATGCACTGTTCCTAAAAAGAAGAGAAAGGTTAATTCAAATCACTAGTTAACTTTGAGGATCATAAATATCATTTTTGCTAATGAGCTGCTTCCTTATTCTTCATTGAAAGAATTTGTGGTTTTTAAATGGAATTAAAATTTTCTGGGAATTTCTAAATTTTTTTTAGATAAAATTGGAAAGTGTAGGATCATTTTATTCGAAATTATATTTTATGGCATACTCGCATGAGTACACAAGATAATTTCAGTGTATACAATTTACTACCTGCAACTGATTCTAATTCTTAACCAAATATAAACAGTTAATCTCTTTAATTTGCTTATTCGGTGTATTAAGAAGTTGCAGCACTTCAAAACTTATGACAAGAATTTAAAAAGCGCAGTAGCGTAACTAGGAAAAGTTCAATACAAAAAAAAATTTGTTGACCTCCTAATAAACGATTTTAGTTGCACTCCTGAAAAAACTTTTAAACTTTTTATTGCTTTCACTAATTTTGCTATTTCTGATTGCGTAAGTTAACTGCTGCAGACTACACGTCGACTTATGAAAGTATTATGAATTATAATTTTTATTTACTAAAACAATATTTAAAAATTATGTTTTATAAATAAAACCCATTAGAAAGCAAGAAAATGGATTCATTTTACGTCATTATTGACAGGTGGTTTCATGTTTTTGACCAATAGCACGTATACCATTGTTCTTTTAAAAAGAAACATTTAACTTTAAAACATAACTAAAATTTAATTTTGATGAATATTTAAATATAATTGACATAACGAAGACGCGTAGAAATGGACGATGAACGGAACGAAAAAGTAGCATGACCGTACGATTCCTCGAAGCGGAGCACGGAAATCATTGTTTATCGCCAGCTGACACGTTTCACCAGCGTGTCGGGCTCGTTGTAAACGGTAACATTATGTAACGACACTTTACAGGTATAATAAGCGATACGTTAGTCGGTTACGATTGGATGTCTTCTGATCGTTTTATAAATTGAATTCTACTTTGCGTCATTACGTTTGCCACTGAAATAACCCTGGCAGCTTGTGTAACCATAACACAATTTATTTCTACGTAAGACCGTAATATTTTCAAAAATTCATCGATAAACATCCTTCACTATTCATACTCTATTTTCCATTTCTTCATTAAAGTTTTCTTCTTTTAATTAGCTTAGTCACAATAACTATGATCAAAATTGAAAATACTATAAATTATAATACATTTTTTAGTCTATCTCGCATAGAATATATTACAAAAATTGTTTTGTAATGAAGAAAATTAATTTTCTCTTCGATTGTCCTCGAATCGCCAAGGTAATTATTATTCTCACCCACATTAGGTGAA